GGGTTATATTACATGATAGGGAAGTAAGTTTACATAAGCATGACTAAAGCGACTCAATTATATGAGCATCCGACATGTGACATAAAAACAAGTGTATATCCTTGGTTTCGTAGTTGAAGTTGTTTTTACGGTATTACGATTAATGTTTTACTTCTTTGTATACATATTTATTACAATTCATGTAAATTACAATTTATATACCAAACAAAAGTCGTAAGAAATTGAACATTGAAAAAGGTTGCAAAAAACTTACTTTGCGCATTTTCTATTGCAGTCGTTGTCGTAGGTTGTACCATCGACGCCACACACTTGTAGGTAGATTGTGGATGTCTTTAGGTTCAACAGTAGGCTGCGGGCTTACAGCAGATCGCTTACGTAAGTTAATACAGGGACCATTATGGAGTAAGATTGCCCAACTTATGTAAAATAAAACATAAAACAGTAAAATACATGTAGTTAATAAAATGGGTCTTACTTTTATATCTATGTACACAAAACAAACATCTCGACATCCTTCCGTATATACACTAACGCAAGAATATTCAAATAACGCAGGAATAGTGCAACGGACCTGGTCACGAATTCCATGAAATACATAAAGGGCTTCGTACTCTCGTCGTCACATGAAATTCATGACCAGGTCTTTTCTAAACAGACAGACCTCGTACTCGGTCGTTATCCTATACTTAAAGATCTGAATGAAATATAGAAATATTACTGTTTCATGCGTATGACCATATATAGGCACGTTTGGAATTATTAATTGTATTACTAATAGCCTGTTTATACTTGATCAGTTTTCAATGTGGGTCATTTATTCAAGCGTGGGTCAAAAGATAAAAAAATGAAAAAAAATCCGTTAAAAAGTGTCCCATGTGGATACTTTTCAACGGGGTCAAAATTTAATGTTACACCTCCGTCAAGTTCGCGTTATTAGATACACACAGGTGAACAGCGCGTAGCCAGGCCAGTTATTAGGACACCCATTCAAGACCCAAATCCAACCCTCAATCTTTTATGAATTAAATAATTGAACACATATTAAATACCAATAAAATATCAAAGAGCAATAAAAAACATCAGTAAAAACAAACTATATTTTATAAACAAGGTATCAAAAAGATAACTTATCGATTAATAATAATTATAATTGGGTTTTCATAAAAACATCTAATGTCAAAGTGTTCGAGAATGTCACTAGAAAAAGATATGATTGCATTGCTGTTTTAAAAATGCCATGACTGAACGCCATTCTCGCGGTAATAAATGCAGAACTCCTAGTTACCGGTGTTGAATCAATAAAAAAATATAATACGTATACAAACAAAAATATATATATACAACAATTAAGAGCCTTTTTTAAAGAAAGAAATGTTTATTTTAAAAAGAGCGTTTGCACGGACCAAAAAATAGATACCATAAAGTAAAACAAAACAAGGTAATACTCTGAAGTAGAGTCTAAATACATTTATAAGTCAGTCTTTCATTACATGTTTTAACATTATTTCTTTCAATATGGCATTGTTAAGTTTTTTCTCAAGATTCAGTTCAAGAATATTAATTTTTTCTCAAGATCAACATGTCCAAGTCCCCGAATATTCCGTTGAAAGGTAGGTCTGGTTACAATTGAATGGTGTGCTTATGCATACATTCCTTTTCATTTCAAATGTTTATTTCTGGCGGTGTATCATTTTTTTATTTGTAATATATTAACCAATTAACAGTTAAATAAATGATTATTTTTACTTACACACATTTTAGAAAACATAGATTATAATACGTCACGCCATCAACGCTGCACACAGGTACGTAAATTAAAGGACAAACACAATGCGCATTTGCAGTTGGCATGGTAACTAAATAATAAACAATATGTGATACATTATGCATATACATATGGACATATAGATAAAGTCATGTTTTTCCGTATTTGAAAAAAAAATCTAAAAAAAACCTAAAAAAAAAAAAAGACATACAAGATTCTTCCTCCATAATTGGAATAATTAATACTAACATAAAAAATGTCTACTGATATTTTACGGGAAAATGTTAATCAGTAAAATAATTCAGCCAAATTGTAAGACGACTACCAACGTTGTAGGTATAATTAACGTATTAAAAGTGTTGTGTACACATATGCAGCGAGTTAGTTCAAGTTCAATGTTACTATCTATTATACTTCGAAATATCTAGAGATAGTGCAAACTGGTTCGGTTGCACCCACAATGTTTTAGAAGTGAAACCAAATCATGACAGTATCCGGTGATCGAGGAAATGATTTTACGGAAAACTTCCGTAGATTACGGAAGCATGAGCAAATGTGCAAAGGTTTTTTACAACCAGTTTGCAATAGACGAGTTTTGCAATCGCAACAAAATTTTCAATAAAATTTTGCAAAACTCGTTTAATTGCAAAGCCGGTTGTAACAAAGGTCTGACCAATGGGTATCATATATACGTCTCTTATCAACAACAGAAAATGCAAAGTTTGTTTGCGCGACCTCAGACGTTAAATAGCAAATTACAGGAATAGTCTGTCAAGATCCTTAAATCATTCACAGTGACATGTTACAAAATAAAGATAAATCGAGTGCGATCACATATAAAATATTTATTTATTTATAATCATAAAAACGTATCACTCAATAAAAACCGTTGGTGAACAAAACAAATGCAGTAAAAAAATAATGTAAAGGCAGTAATAGAAGTTATGAAAAATGATATAGAATAAACTAACCAGTGATCCAAGCAAAACAAATGACTGCAAGGCAAGCTGAAGTAACCATCTTGTATTGGTAGCTTTAACAAAGTTTTCAAAGTTTCTACCGGAATTAAACAGTTTAATATGGTCTTGTCGATGCTGAATTTAGATTATATATAAATTGATGTCTACGCGTCAGCACCCCATGTCACTGCACATTTTTTGTTAAAGCAGCGCAGTAATAAATTGATCAAAAATTGCAAAAAAACTTAGAAATGTCTAAATAAATATACGAACTGTTTTTCTGTTCGTAAATACATTATTATTTATATACACAATCTTATGCGTATTTGTTGCTTACGTTTTATTAGATTAATATAGTTGCTGATTGACGCCATTTCGTGTTTTGCTTTTTTTGGTTTGTTCAACTTTGTCGTCCCTTCGTAAGAAGAAGCGAGAATACGACATGGCGTAAATCAGCAACCATAGATTAAGACAAGAGTGCTGCCAGACTTGCAACTTGATAATTTCTTTACTGAAAAACAACAACAACAACCAAAAAAACCCAATTCAGATATTGCGCCTACAATAACGATCTTAGTCCTTAAATACTTTATAATACTAGATATTTGTATATGAAGTCACAGTGATAATATATGGTAAGGTGACAATTACGAAAAACTAACCATTTTTTAACAAGACATGTCATTGACCAAAAAGTTCCCAATTGTTTGTAGTTTCTAAAACTGTCGGCATAAATTTGCATAAATGTTGGCGAACAGAGAAATCTAAGATGGCGTTCAAGATGGCTGCCGAAATTATCAAAATTGCCACTTAGTCACTATTACTTAATTTAAGCAGTTAAAACAGATGCTGTTGTTCTTTTGTGGTATTTCTCTATGGAATTTATGTCAAGGATGTAGTTTTATTACCTTTTTCTGATGTAATAGTGTTGTTTACGGTCAAAAGCAGATAAAATGTGATGAAAATATATAATATGATTTTATAGACTTAAAAAAGGAAAGAAAAATGCTAATAAATTATTTTATCATAAACTTAGAATGTGAATTGAAACACTATTTTCCACTTTCCAGTCCTTAATTGCTTATAGAACTATTAACAATTCTTGCATACTCTAACCAAAAGTTACTGAACTTTGTTATAAATTATAGGTTTCAGTCTTTCAAGCAATTTATATAAAACAATAACATTTGAAAAACATAAGAATAATGTTTCTTACAATGAATTTGTGATTTTGAAGAAATTGATATTTTACCCCACCACCTTAGAAACTTCATTATTTTAAACACTTCAATGGCACATTTCTTATGTACATGATGTTTGTTTTTTTTTGTAATATAAACCATAGTAAATCAATTATAACATGGAAATATGTTCATCTTTAAATATTACCAATTTTTCGTCATTTCTTCACCACAACTTTCAGCCTTTATCTGTTAAAAGATATTTCAACATTAAAAATAGATACTAAGATTATGGTTGTGAATGTTTTTTGAAAAAAAATGATGAAAAAACAAATGACTTTTTTAAACTGTTTTAAAAATAAGGGTATTAAAAATATTTTTCATTTTTTGGGCGGCCATTTTGGCCCGCCATCTTGGTTTTTCTTCTGTTCGCCACCATGAAATGCCGTTTTATCGAATTTTTTAAAAATTTAAAAAATTAAATTGGGAAAGGGGGTTTTGACACGTTTTTGTAAAAAGGGGGCCAGTTCATGGTTTCGGGAATTTGGGCTTGTTTGTCCCCCTTCCCAATATGGTGTAACTTTACAACTTTAAAATTAAAAAACCCCAATACATGTGTAGTGTGGGTTTTTAATTTTTAAAATTGTCGGTGCTGATGCCGTTCAGTTGATGATAAGTTTGAGGTTTAGTCTGACAGGATTGGACTATAAACGGCCAGTAGATTTATAAATGTTTGTGGTAACCTAGCCAAACTTCAATAAATAAAATAAAAATGGTGAAGTCCTTTGTACTGATAAAATTAAATACGACGCTCAATTTTAGTTCAAAAGAAAATTTACAGCGAAGTGTAATAAGTTTACTCCCAAAAATAAATGATAAATTTATTTTGAAAAGAGGACGAATTACTTTTATTGCGACGCACATCTTTCGATTTACAAATTTGAATATCTAAATCAACATGACTGTTTCAGTACAATAATTGTGGTGGTGGTGTGCGTGCGTGCGTGCGTGCGTGTGTGTGTGTGTGTGTGTTGGTGTGTGTGTGTGTGTGTGTGTGTGTGTGTGTGTGTGTGTGTGTGCTCTTGTAAGGACCAGCAACTGAGGACATTTGTCAGGAATAACAGCAACGAGTGAGGACATGACCGACAATTGAGCCATCCTCAATTGACAAAAATATTTTATACTCTCAAAATGCTTATTTTTTGCTAAAAAACATGTTAAAAAATGGTAATCAAGTTGTGTCCTCGGTTGGAGGTCTCATATGATGGGTGTGTCGGGGGCTGTGTGTCGACCTAAAAAAGTAGCCATTTTTGAACTTCCCACTCGGCGAATTATTGCGTCCTCAATTGCCGGTCAGATTTGACAAAACTGGAATACAGCATTTCTATTGGTTGAAATTAATGCAAAAAAATGGGAAATATTATTTAAGCTGTTAATAAGTAGATGTAGACACTTTAAGAAAGATTTAAAATCCACTATGAATTTATAAACAGGTAAAATTTGTAAAGGTTATCTGCTTACTTACCGGAAGTCATTTAAAGGAAATTTGGAAATCGGACATTTTTACTGCGTGGTACAGTACAGGAATGCGGAGGCAGAAAAAGGTAAAAGAATCTAATTTTTGATGCTATATTACTTATAATAATTCATTGCAGCTTAATAGGCTTTACAGTTGTACTATTTGTTTTTCTTATACTGTTTAGTCCTAAAGTTTAGACAGCCTCAATTGATCATAGTACATGTACAGAAATCAACTCGTACCCAAACCATTTCGTTTTATCATGCCTGTTGAAAGGACTGATTAAAAAATCTTTAAATAAGAAAAAAAATATTAAATCTTATAAAATTGAAATAAAAAACAACAAGAGTTGTGAATGTTACCGCAGGGAATAGGTAAATTTTTTATATGTCACTTATTTTCGCGATGCCGCTTTTTATTAAATAAAAATTGGAAGCAATGTTTTTGTTAAAATGTGTGTAAAACACTAAAAATGAGTTGATGAATGAAAAACTACTGAAGGTATTGTTTACACAACTTGAACGAAGATATTTTGCCAGTATGTGTTTAGTTAGTTCTACATAAAATAGATCTAGATATATAAGGAATATTTTCTATAAGGGGTTTATTTTATTAGTTCTACATAAAAATGATATAAGGAATATTTCTAAGGGGTATATGTAGTAGAGTGAATAAGGAAGAAAAATCCCAGCTTAATGGTCTGTTGATGTAGGGTTTAAGAAATTATATTTCAAATCTTTCTTGTACAGTACACAGGTTTCCAATTTTGGTACATGAATTACCATTTTCCTTAAGCCTTTTCAATATTCAAACTCTGACACCCCCTCCCCTTTCCCACTCTTCTCTGCTTATTCATCATATTAAACTGCATAAATGCATCAAAGACCGGGAAGGTACGGGAATTAGTCTGTCCGGAAAAGGGGAGGTAAATAAAAAAAATGTTAGGATTTAGCTCAATACAGGATTGGGGGC